AAGGCTAAAGCTCGAGGGAAGGCAGCACTTCCCCGAAAAGCTTTGGGCGCAAACCCTGCGCACATCCTGCAGCAGAGTGTCCTGGATCATATAAAAAAAGGTCAGGAATTATACACGTGTGTGGGAAATAAGCACATCTCTTTTGTGAGGATACACGGTTACCCGTCTGTTCGAATTAACTAAGAGCAAAGAAGGGGAAAAAGGAAAGGAATCAATTAACCATCCAGACATACAACCGATAAGGAGCAGGAGATATCGCAGACAATAAGAAAGATCATGTCTCCTAGGTCACTAAGTGATGGGCCGTTGAATGAAGCAACCAAGCCCAGGCTCGGAGAGGCCGAACCACAACTTCATGGTGTATAAGGAGGCGCAAGGAGATTAGTAAGGCCTCTCAAGGGAGATACTAAACTATAGCGTGTTTGAGGAGGACTCTGTAAAGCGTCTCATGTCTGGGAGGGGCTGTGGGACTGTGTGAGAGTTTAGACGGGTGTTTAGAGAAACCCCGAGGTGTCCGCACCCCGGGGCCGGTGGAGGCCGCGACTCCGACGCAGGAGGCGCCCCGGGGGCCGGGGAGCGAGCGCGGGGCGTCAACACAGGATGAAGCTGGGGGGTTCAGGCGGGGATTCCCCAACGGCACCCGCAGTTAGAAGATGTTGTGGGACAAGTACTCTCCCCGCAGCTCCTCGTCAGGACAGCGGCTCAATAAAAACAGTGGACGACGCCGCAGGGCGGCTCCGTGCCCCTGCACTCGGGAAACCGCCGGTCACTCAGGGTGCAGCGAGGCCGAGAGGCTGCGACCCTCCTCGCGAGCTGCTCCGGGCGCGCAGCTCCTGTCTGTCAGGACTTCCTGATGGACCTTGGTCTTTAAGGGACAAACCTGGGACCGTGGAARTGAGAGATCCACTCCACGACTTTCCTGGAGATCATAGAATACTTAAATCCTTAAGGATGGAAGGGACTTTTAGAGACCATCTAGTCCAACTCCCCTGCATACACAGGATCACCTAGAGCGTGTTGCACAGGATTGCATCCGAGTGGGTTTTCAAGATCTCCAGAGAAGGAAACTCCACAAACTCTCTTGGCAACTTGTTCCATATCGTGTGCAAGGAAAGGGTCTTGGCAGTATCCACGCGTGGCGAATATACATTCATGAGCAGGTACATGAGTGTGTATGTGTGACATAGATTTGTGTCACAAAGAAGGAGAAAAGTCAAAGGAAAGGGAAAATGAATAAATACGGGCAAAATCTTGTCAGTAAAGCGGGAAACAAATGGAAAGGACAAGATGAAACCCACCCTTCCACTTTGAGTGTGTGAGTGGGCGTTCGTCTGTCTGTGTGGTACACTGCGTGACAGCCGCAAAGCTGCGACTGAGGGGGGTCAGGAGGCACCATCTCTGCCCGGGAAGGCAACGGGATTAAATTCCAGCAGGTGACAGTCCGGTCTGATTTTCCTCGGCCTACCTTGAGACTCCGACCACCGCCGTTGGCGGTGCCTGAGAGCGGATCCACTGCACTGCCGGGAGCAGCAGCCTCTTCTCCAGCCCTTCCCTGTCACCGGGGATCACTCGATGTTTCAGCCACGGAGCTGATATTCAGGGCACAGTCTCGACTCTCAAAAATGGAACTTGTTTTAAATAATTATACATTTAATGTAAAATTTTAATGTAATTGTAATGTTTTGATGCTGCAGGCTCTCTGTTCAGCAGTTTTCATCACGAGGGTCACTTCAGTGGCCCAGGCGTCAAGCCTGTGGTCCAGCTGTGGCAACATTCTCGTGTTTATTCGTTTTCACTCTTTATCCTCCAAAGATCGCCCCCCCGCTTTCCTCCAGGGCAACATCCCAGGAGGGCGATCGGACTGTTTTGTGACACAGAGACGGATCTCTCTGAGCACCACTTTATTGTGGCAGGGGACAATGTGCATGAGTGAGTGTACAGGGAAGCCCAAATAACCGGCATCTGTGTCCCTTCCGAGAAGCAGCAGGACAATGATGAGAATTACCTAACCCATATCCTTGCATTATCTGTCGCTGTATTTTGTTATCCCTGTATCACAGATCAGCTAAAGACCAGGGGAATTGGTAACAGTGGAAAATGAATTTTGATCAAATGCAGTTCTCACACACAAAAAGAAAAGGGAAAAAAAATGAAGGAAAAAAACCCCTAGAGGATTAAGCAAATCGCTTTCCAGAGAGGACCCTAAACCCCATGTGTAACTTCTCTCTGCAGCCTCTCATTCATTTGCCTCTACAAAGCTGGGAAATGGACTTCACTCTCCTGAAAAGCAGGGTAGCAAGCGACAGTGCTCCTGAGCTCCGTTTTCCACGACCTCGAGCACTGCACTGTAACGAGAAAGGCGAAGAGTGACTCCGGGCAGCGTAGGAGGCAGAAAGTACCTAGCAGCCCCATACTGGGCACAGTGCAGAAAATAGAGAGTTACCCGATGTCCAATTCGCGAAAGAGCGCTGCGGTAGGGCAAGGAGTGACCCTGAGGCTCTGCGTTAGCAATACTCCCTCATCCTCTCATCGCACGGAAAGGCCCGTGGACACCCAAGGGAGAGAAGCACGGGTGGAATGACAAGCCCTCCTCCCTCCCTCAGCCTCCTCCACAACCTTCACACCCCTCCGGTCCCCTCTCCCCCCCATCTTTCTCTGGCTTCGCAGCACTTTGCTAAGCCTCTGTGGAGCACTGTTGTGACTCCCGTTTACCGCTCGTCATTGAGCCACCTGCGTCAGAGCAAGGCTGGAGTGGGTGGGCACCACAGGATGATCCCGGTGCGAGTGGTGGTGCAGCTGGAGTTCCCTTTGGCTCTTCTGGGCAGAGAGTTCCCTATCGGACGGGGAATGAGGAAACTATTGGGCACCTTGTATTTGCCTGGAGTCCTTGTCAAGATCTGGCAAAGATGAAAAGACACTCAACATTACTGCTGCATTTGATTCCTCCTAATACTGGCTCTGTCAGTAACCTGGGAAAGATCAGTAGAAAAAGAATCTGGTCCTTCAACACAGAGGACACGGTTTCGTAGTACATTTGTAACAAATCCCCTGGAAGGAGGGGAAGACGCAGAGCCTGTCYCCGCCGCTGTTCCCTCTACACTCCCATTGCCCCCTAAGGAGGAGCCATCCGAGGGCCCTTCTCCAGCCGGGGGAAGCGCAGCAGCCTCCCCGCGCGGCCTTGCGGCCGGCGGCTTCACTGCGRCAGCCGCGGGGAAGGGCCGGGAGAACGGGGCGACCGGCGAATGGGGCGACCGGCTCCTCTCGGGCTCTTCTGCCGTCCTCCCGCGGCACCGGGCGGGGCTGGACGGGCCGCGGAGCGAGGGCCCTGCCCGAGCGCAGCGGGAGCGAGTGCCCGCCCGCCGSGGGAGCCTCGGGCAAGGGGCTCCTGTGCAACCAAAAGGGGAATATACGAATCCCAGGCTCCACCATAATCATAATCAACCGGACTCCGTGCCAGCCGCTAGCGAGTGGGGTGACTGAACCTATGAGCAAAGGCTGAGGGAGCTGGGCCTGTTCAGCCTGGAGAAAAGAAGGCTGAGGGGGCACCTGATCAACGTGTATAAATACCTCAAGGGAGGCAGTGAGGAGGAGGAGGCGGCCTCTTTTCAGTGGTGGCCAGCCACAGGACTAGAGGAAACGGCCACAAGCTGAGGCACCAAAAGTTCCACAGGAATTTGAGAAAAAACTTTTTGACAGTGAGGGTGACAGAGCCCTGGAACAGGCTGCCCAGGGAGKCTGTGGAGTCTCCTTATTGGGAGATCTTTAAAACCCGCTTGGATGCAGCCCTGTGCCACGTGCTCTAGGTGACGCTGCGTGAGCAGGGGGGTTGGACTGGATGACCTCTGAGGTCCCTTCCAACCTTAAGCATTCTATGGTTCTATGATTCCCGCTGTTCCGCACTGCATAAAAGCAAGATCATTCCCGGCTCTAGCGGGAGGTGCCTGAATGCGAGCGGTTGTAATTGCCATGTCCGAGCCTGCCCGTTCTACATCATACCCAAAGCATCCAAGAGCTCCATCCCCTCAGCACAGAAGGATGACATGTAGCACTGCTAAAACGCTTCACTAGACTCGTTAAAATAGCTCCATATCTGTTTTAGTGGGAAGCTCAGGACTGGACTGGGCACTCCAGGTGCAGTTTCAACAGGACCGACRAGAAGACATTTCCCCCAAATTCCTTCAGCCTGCTGGCAGCGCTCTTCCTGATGCAGCTCAGGAGGCTATCAGCCTTCTTGGCCACAGGAGCATATTCCTGATTCATGGTTAACTTGATGCCCACCACACTCCTCTGCCTGCTTCCCCCCCAGGACTACTGTCTAGGAGATAATCCGCTAGCCTGATATATCTTAAGCTAACCTGATAAGGCTCCTCTTTGTCTATTTCCCAGCCTGTTGAGGTGCCTCTAAATTGCAGCACTACCCTCTGATACAACAACCAGTCCTCCCAGCTATTTATCATCAATACACTTGCTAAGAGTGCTAACTTGTTATGAGTGTCCCTTTATCTAGGTCACTGACGAATAAATTGAACAAGATTGGGTCACTAGATGCTTGTAAAATATTGAGCAATGTGTTGTATTCTTGCTGAAAATTGAATATTTTTTTCTTCTTATCCTAGTGAACAGAGGAAAGTTACATGCTAGAGTTTAGAATGTTTTACAATACAGAGCATGTATAGTCCTTTGATTTACATTTGCTACAGAAAAAAATTATTAAAAAAGGTAGCTATAGAGAATCTTTAAGTGGTAGATGTTACAGTATATACTTCGTACAAATACATATAATGTATGTAGAAATACATATAATGTAAACATCTACTTAAAGATTTTAAAAACTTTATTTGTACATTATTGGTATGGTAAAAAGATAAAGCTACATATTATCTCATAAAAATTAAATATTTCCTAATAATTCACATCTATCTAGGCAAATAAACTGAAAAAAAGACAATATGAAAGCTTTCCTTACAAATGTATTTTTTTCTTTTTTTCTCAGAGAGATCTTACAGCCCTTTCAGTGAAAAAGTGGGTGGCTCTTAAAAGAGCCTTTGGGTTAAAAGAGAYGCTGCGGGACGCTCTACTTGGAGCTCGTGTACTTGGTGACGGCCTTGGTGCCCTCCGACACGGCGTGCTTGGCCAGCTCGCCGGGCAGCAGCAGCCGCACGGCCGTCTGGATCTCCCGCGACGTGATGGTGGAGCGCTTGTTGTAGTGCGCCAGGCGCGACGCCTCGCCGGCGATGCGCTCGAAGATGTCGTTCACGAACGAGTTCATGATGCCCATGGCCTTGGACGAGATGCCCGTGTCGGGGTGCACCTGCTTCAGCACCTTGTACACGTAGATYGAGTAGCTCTCCTTGCGGCTCTTCTTGCGCTTCTTGTCGCCTTTCTTCTGCGTCTTGGTCACCGCCTTCTTGGAGCCCTTCTTGGGCGCGGGCGCTGACTTAGCCGGCTCAGGCATGGCCACCAACCTCTCGCACCTCCCAGCACCGCGCAGCGAACAGCAGAGCAATGCGACACAATCGCCGCCGCCCTCCTCCCTTTATAGGCGCCCTATGCAAATGAACAGCATTCGGTCTGCGGGCTGCCATTGGCCCGCAGCGGGAGGGGCGTCACAAAGRCCCTCTCGGCGCTGCGCACTGGTCGCCACCCGATCCGCTTTCCCATTGGCTGTCCGGACAAGCCCTTCCTCTCGGCCTATAGTGAGCGGCGCCGCGGGTCCTGGCTCGACTGCAGGCGGCGGCGGCAACGACAGTGACAGTGATAACAGCATATCTGCAGAAAGCAGGCGCGTGCCAAGGCCAAATGAAATGAAGTCTTTTCAGGATGTGTAGGAAACGAAACTCTAAAATGCTATTTTCAAAGTCTCAAAAAATGTCCATAAAAGACTTATGTCCTTCTGACCAGGCATACTTCTTTTTTTTCCAAGGATTTGAGAGCTATTTGTATAAGGAGATTCTATTGTTTTAATGGTAGCTAAAATATCTTGCTTCTYGAAACATGTTGAAGGAGAAAGTGTATAGCCCAGAGTACTGGCAATACTCTATGTGTTTTTTTTTTTTTTTGGGGGGGGGGGTATACTCTAGTACCATGCTTAAGTTACATTTTTCTTTCTATTTTAGAATCACCCTGACTTCTCCTTTTCTCCACTTTTCTCATTAATTAAAAGATCTTATTCTTAACATAGTGTGGTCATTCCTAATTAATAATCTGGAAATTTTTTAATGGTTTACTACAGGTTGAGAACAGTAATACAAAATGAGGTTGACTGGTAGAGTCCAGATTTTTTTTTCTTTTTTTTTTATCCTGCTCTGCAGTGAACTACTAGCACTAGTTGGCACTCAAAAATTTAGTCTGGCCACTGTACATTTTTTTTCCTGAGGGATATCATCTTCTGGTGCAGTAGTTGGACCCTGCCACACTCAGGGGTCCCTTTGCCCTGGATATGTGAATTTTCCTATGGGCAACCCCAGATTTTCAAATCTCAGAAAATCCCCTGTGTTCCCAGCAGCAGTTCTACAATCCTTCTTGAGCAACAGAAGGGATTTGCCCTGACACATTCCCCTTTCCTCTTTCTTAGTATCACAGTAGCAGGGTAACGGTGTCACATGAGTTCCTACAGCTTCGCTGGGCAGAAATAGCCATACAAAGAAATAAGCAAATCATTATGGGAGAGAGGGGCTGCCAATGGGTTTAGGTAGCTGCTGCATAGTCCCTGAAACAGTGCTGATGCCTACAGATTTATATGATAATTGGTATTACTGTTTTTCATTTTCCTTCTCTAGTATTGCTGGACTGATGTGACACCTCTTCTCTGTGTATATGAGGCAGCTGTTTCTTTTTCTTTTCTTTTTTTCTTTTTTTTTTTTTTTTTTTGGAATAAGGCAAATGACTCTAAAAGGACTGCTGAGATTCTTGTCTTAGGTGACATGATATGTGCTTCACCTTTAGTTCTTTTCAGTTTAGCCGGGCTTCTTGCTGCTTTGCTAGGCCTGACCGTCCTTACGAGGCTCTGTGGTGGTGGTAGAGATGTTGCCTCTGGCCACCTCTCTGGGGTGCTGATGGACCTCTGGCTTTTTCCTGCATACCTTTTGCTGTATATCCCTGGGTTTCTAACTGAGAGTGAAAGAGCCAGAGGTGCTGGTGCCCTTGATCAAGTTTATGGACTGCCGCAGAATGACCTCCTGCATTCTGTATCACCCACTTCAGCTCCATCATGTATAAAAATATACTTAAAAAACATCAAAGAATCTTGTAGGATTATGTGAAGGACAGCAAGATCTCAGGGTGTTTTTGTACAGACACATACTTCCATGAAGAAGACACTTGGTATCTTACTGGAAATATAGCAGGTAGGCAGGTGTTTTTCTCTGCTTATAAGAAGWTTTTTTAAAGGTTGTTTTTAAATATCTGCATGTCTCAGTGAGACAATGTGAACACTGAGGACCTCATAGACCAGAGTGATTCACAGATGTCTCCCCAACATTAACTTGACTTTGCAACAGCACAATAAGGCAGGAAGGAGAGATTGTCTGACATCAAGAGACAAAGGAAATCTCCCACCTCAAATCCATGCAAATGGAGAGCACTTAGCTATTTTGAACTACAGGCACTACAGGTGCCTTGGGAAAGGGTCTCCGCGTGTCTCTGTAGGAATGAGCAGAGCCCACCTGGGGGTCCAGCTCCAGTTCCTCACGCTGTCTTTGATGAAGGTGCTGCAGTCATCCCTCAGTCACTATAGGCGTCTAGAAACAGCAGGCAGCAGAACAACGAAGGGCTGGATTTCTCTGGGCAGGACAGAACCGGGCCAAGGATTTTTCAGTTCAAAAGCATCTCATTTCTTTTTCACTTTTTTTACCCACTCTACTTAAACCCACTTTGGTTTTGCAACTTTGCCCCTTATAATTAAATTCAGATCATTTAATTTTGATCAGTGCTCTAAATGATGAATGCATGCTCATCTGATACTGACTGATATTCGCTCATTTTTTTTTTTTTTTATGTCCAGTACCATCTGCTGAAGACGGAAGAAAAAAAATAAAGTACTTTCCTGCAAATGTTCTCCACTGGAAAATAATGCAAAACCAAATGTAAAAGAAATGCACATATTCTTAGTGTGGCAAAAAGGACTAAAAGGTTCTTGTCGTTGTTATCAATATTTTAAAGAACTCAGAGGTTATAAATAAAATTTTATTTTTTTCCACGTGATTCTTTTGGGCATAAAATCTGAATGAGAAGCATATGGAACTTTGGTCAGTGAAGGAATAAGTCTAGGTGTAAAACTGATTTGTGAATTATATTTGTGATAAGATTTTACGGCTATGCTGCTGTTACTTTCATACAGAAAGCTTCTTATAGTTGACCCAAATTTAACATGCAAATGTGTGCAGAGTTGTTTTTAGAGTTATTATGCAGTGAAATACTCAACCTCCTTGCAAGTCTCCAGTGCAGAGAAATTTTCCTTAGTGAGGTCACTTCTGTTTAAAAGTAGTAGACTTATTTTGTCTTCTCCACTGCAAAGAAACAAAAAGAGGGTTTTTTTGGTGGAGAGATGAAAATAACTGAATATTTTTTCCTTTTCCTTCTCCATTTGTAAATGTATTTCTATAAATTAAGGTAGCTTTCTGCTCATAAACATAATTAAAATAAATTTAAGATTGATTACAAGAGTTTTGCCCTTCTTCCAGAGCTAAGGGTTCAACAAAACAACAAAACAAGGGGAAAAAATATCAAAATTAGGTTTTTGCAAACACTGCACAGGATAAAAGTGATATTGCATCCTGGGTGGAGAAATCCATGCAATATGACTRCCTGGGCCAACTGGAGAAAAAGCAACATTGCAGAAAATGTTCTGGTGCATTAAGACCAACCATATGCTAAACTGCTTTAACAATAGTGTTTCGGTAGCAAGTTGAGGAAAATGTCATTCMACCTATCCTATCTGTGCAGTATTATATGCAGATATTCTTGTGGGAATATTACCCACAAGGAAGATGTTCACAACCTACAGCAAATACACCAGGGATCCTTAAAAGGTAGAGGTAGCTGAGGCATCTGATATAGRAGCAACAGAGGAAGAGGGTCCCTATACCCTGGAGAAGATACCTCTGTGAGGGGTGGGRAGGGAGCTGAACATTTTACTACAGTGTTAAGCTACTGAAAAAGTGAGTTATGGAGACGATGGAGTCAGAGGCAAAAGATATTTTAAAGCAATGGAAATTCTGGCTAGATAAAAGGGGGAAAATATTTCCTCATGACAATGGCTAAGTCCTTAAAAATGAGCCTAGAGAAATTGTGGTATTTCTTCCCATGGATATTTCTAAAACATCACTGGACAAGGCCTTTGGCAACCTGGTCTAGCAGGACAAATCAAGGTCTATCCTGCTTTGGGCTGAAGAAGTGGTCTGTTATTGCTGTTATTATTATTTTAATGAAATGGTGGTACTATGATCTCTGTCTCCATGGTGGCCCTAATGCTTTTAGTTAGTGGTGTTCTCAAAAGAAAGTTTTGTAGAAACTTGTGCACCTCTCCATATGTGTGCAACAAAAYAAGAAGGTAAGCAATATCATACAGGACAACATCGTACATAATTTACAATTCTGCAGAAAGGAAGCTAATAGCATGGTCAAATAAATAATTGTAAGTATTCCCATCTGTATATAAATACAAATATTTATATTATATATAGTATATAAATAATATATACTCCTGAGAAAATCTCATGCATTCATTCAAAGGTAAGTTATTCCATGAGAAAGKCATATCACATATTTGAAAGTGCATAAGAGAGCTTAATATCAGTGGACCTCTTCAGACTTTTCAAAATTGAAGTCTGCATTTTCTAGTGGCAGCAGAAGCATATTTCTGAACTTCAGATTTTCACTTTGAAAGGGTTCTTTTACAGTGTGGGAAAACTGCCTTATCATTTTATCCAATAATGACTAATTGTGATTTGATAGTAAATAATTTTAATGTAGGTGACTGGAAGTCATAAGTATGTATTAATTCATTATTTCAACTAACTGTTGGAGAAAATCACTACTAAACTTTATGTGAAATGATGATTTAATCTTTACCCTTAGAAAAAAAAAGAAAAAAAATGAAGGGGAAAAAAAATGACAGGAAGAGGGAGGAAGGGGGAGAGAGAAAGAGACAATATGTACCACCTGATATCCAGAGACCCATTCCAAATGACAGGAGGTCTCCGACTCTGCGAACCCAAAGACTGAGCTGTCCCTGCTCAATGTGATGCTTTTTCCATCTTTGTACTTCTGTGTGCTGGGACAACAGAAGATGTGTTCCCAGCTTCAGTCCCTTCTACCTCCTGTCTGCTCATACAGAGATTTCTGCCACCTCCAGAATTGCTCTGCGTTCTGCAATACCACAACCTGGGGATCAGATTCTTCTTTGTGTGTGTGTGTGTGTGTGTGTGCGCGTGTGTGTATGAATGTATGCTAAGAGGTCCATTTTCACTTGAAAATTCAAACTAGTTGGTTTTTCATTGTTGTTTGGAAACATTTAGTCAGACTGTGAATAAAATCAAATAAGCAAAGTGAATCCTTTTCAATAGTTAGGGTTAATATTTCTTTCTCCTCATCAAAATTACAATTGAATGTCCTCTTTTCTAATAAAATTGAATCTGGGAAACCATCTAACCTGAGATATGGCAGCATTTTAMACTGTGTGGTAAAAAAAATATTCTCTGGACATTACGGAAGGTACTTTGAGTTGATAGGTAGTTAATAGTGAGTWGATATTTATTTACTCAGAAAAGGTAGGAGAAGCATAAAATCATTCCAACCAGTGACTGTTTTGTTCCATTTCTGGATCAGGTGCTTGATATTGATCATTCAAAATGTTTAGTTTTGAATCTCCCACTGATTTACCGACCTTCTGTCGTAATTGTTGTAAATCACTCCAGAAATTCTGATCGAGAAAAGACAAGTCTTTTCAAAAACTTGCTGCATTAAGACTGTTAGTACATTAAACAGAAAACAAAAACAACAATATTTTTAAATGTTTTGGGCATTTTTCTCTAGGTGGTACTCTTTATGACTGGCAACACAKTACAGGACTAAATTGTAATATTGCATATGATATATGCATATGATATACTAAAAGACATGAAGAAAATAAATAGTAAAGCCACTAATGAATATGTGCTATGTTCCAATAACTGTGAATTAAAATATATAGTCACAGAAGGCCTGTTTAAAGACAATGCATTGCAGCAATTCCAAAATAATGTTTCCGAATATCATGCCATCTTCCTATTGCTGGCTGATGCATTCTTTGTGGAGCAGCTTGAGGGAGACTGAATGGAATTGTAAAGAACATTAATGGCATGATAGACAGAAGAATATTCTATCATGTGATTTTACTATATTTTCTAGATCTCACTTCTGGCCACTAGCATATTTCATTATACAAAAACCTAGAGAATTGAATAAATCSTTTTTTCTTCACTTTCTTATATACTATACATATGGAGAGTCTCAGAATACAAACTCTAAAGCACAGTTCCCATTGGGGCTGATTACAGAACTTGTCATAAGCTCTAGGAGAATAGGAAATATGGAGAATGCTGCTTACTACCAAGTGTTTGAAGTCAGCTCTGAAGTCAGTCTCCCTATCAGCCTTATCTGATACAAACTTTGAACTGAGGTGAACTTTGGTGAACCAATGGAAGGTATTAAGGAGGCCTAATACCAGCCTAAGCACCAGTACTCCCAACAGCATGCAACTAGTTCTAGAAAAGTCATTTTACATGGTTCTTTTTTGGACCTTATGTAGGAAACAAATGTGCTGGTAAGACCACAAGGTATGACCGGAGCAAAGAATCCATGTGATGCAATTCAAATCCAATTTGAAAGGAGTTGATAATGACTGATACCTTTGTCTGCAGCAGCATTCAGTTATATGAGTGACAGAGATTCTACCATTTCAKATTGAAGGAAATCAAAACTCATTAACTTTAGCTACCTGTTTAATAACCTAGCCCAGCAGCTAACCTTTGTTATTTTCTTTAATATTTTTAATGCAATTAATCAATTATAAACAAATGTCAGATAGATATAATCTTAAATAATTGTAATACCCAAATTGAAGATTTGCTGATGAAGTGAATACTCACTTCATAAAGCAATCCCAGGGAGGAATCACAGAATGGCAGAGGTAGGAAGGGACCTCTGGTTAATATCTTCTTGATAAGGCTCCTCTTTGCCCCTTTCTGCAACTAATTGAGGTGTCTCTAAACGGCAGCACAACCCACTGGAGCATCATCCACTCCTCCAAGTTATCTATCATCAACAAAACGCTGAGGGTGCATTCTGTTCATTCATTCAGATTACTGAATAATAAGCTGAAAAAATTGGACTACTGACCGCTATTGACCCTCCGGCGTTCGTTGTTGGCGTGCAGTTTTCAATCCAGATCAATGTCTGCTCACGTAGCCCATATTTTATCAACTTGCCTGTAAGGATGTTATGGGGGACTCCATCACCTTGCCAGGGACTCAGGCCATGGTGACCAGCCTGTAGTTCCCTGGTACCATTTCTTACCCTTTTGGAAAACTAGAAATACATCTGATTTCTTCCAGTCCTGAGGTATGACTCTTGATTACTATGACTTTTCAAAGGTAATTGAAAGTAGCCTTGCAGTAGTATCAACCAGATACCTCAACACTTCTGGATTTATCCCATGCCTCACAGGGGTCCCAGAGAATTTTGCATGTCCAGTTTGCTGGGATCCCTAATCTAAACCACCTTCACCAAAAGGAAAAATCGACCATTCCTCARTCTTTCTCTCTGGTCTCCTGCGCAGGTTTAGTAATACAGACTGAGATAAAAGACTTTCACTAGATCAGCGTTTTGTGTCATGTAAAGAGGAATTGTTCTCATAGCAAAAATTACTTCAAAAGCCACATAAGTAGAATTAACAAAAATATTTCTAAAGAGAACACYTTAAATAATGACATCTATGCTCTATTATTACATGCTTTTCAAATATTGAGCAAATATGGCTGAAAAATAAATATTAACATTCTCTTATCTCTAGTAACAAATGAGATAAAACAGCTTTTTACAGTTTATAAAATATTCTACAATAAAGAGCATTTGTGGTTCCTTGCTTTACCTCTACTATAGAAAATAAGGAAACAAAAACACCTATCCTCAAAAGATAGTTATAGCTGTTACTTTGTAGGAAAAAAATATAAACATTCTTTCCTACAGACCCTAAAAAATCCATTTTATTTTTCTCTTTTACTTAGGCACAATAAAAATATTGAAACACAAGTATATTGATTGGGATGTAAGGTACCACACATACACACACTGCAAACTTAAAAATATAACCATAATATGACAACTTACTTCTGATATCAAGCAACTACATAGAATGAATATGCATGCACTCAATAATGTACAATTTTGATGTATAACTGGATGCTTAGTTTAGTTAGATTTAAACCTACAGTTGCAGTAAATTACATGTAAATTATTTCCTTGTATTTCACATGAGTAAATAGCAATGAGGGGAAAAAAAAAAAAAAAACTTTCCCTAAAAAATATGTTTTTTTCTTTTTTTCTCAGAGAGATCTTACAGCCCTTTCAGTGAAAAAGTGGGTGGCTCTTAAAAGAGCCTTTGGGTTAAAAGAGACGCTGCGGGACGCTCTACTTGGAGCTCGTGTACTTGGTGACSGCCTTGGTGCCCTCCGACACGGCGTGCTTGGCCAGCTCGCCRGGCAGCAGCAGCCGCACGGCCGTCTGGATCTCCCGCGACGTGATGGTGGAGCGCTTGTTGTAGTGCGCCAGGCGCGACGCCTCGCCGGCGATGCGCTCGAAGATGTCGTTCACGAACGAGTTCATGATGCCCATGGCCTTGGACGAGATGCCCGTGTCGGGGTGCACCTGCTTCAGCACCTTGTACACGTAGATTGAGTAGCTCTCCTTGCGGCTCTTCTTGCGCTTCTTGTCGCCTTTCTTCTGCGTCTTGGTCACCGCCTTCTTGGAGCCCTTCTTGGGCGCGGGCGCTGACTTAGCCGGCTCAGGCATGGCCACCAACCTCTCGCACCTCCCAGCACCGCRCAGCGAACAGCAGAGCAATGCGACACAATCGCCGCCGCCCTCCTCCCTTTATAGGCGCCCTATGCAAATGAACAGCATTCGGTCTGCGGGCTGCCATTGGCCCGCAGCGGGAGGGGCGTCACAAAGACCCTCTCGGCGCTGCGCACTGGTCGCCACCCGATCCGCTTTCCCATTGGCTGTCCGGACAAGCCCTTCCTCTCGGCCTATAGCGAGCGGCGCCGCGGGCCCTGGCTCGACAGTAGGCTAGCGACGCGAGTTGGCGGTTCCAGTCTTTGCGTACTGAACCGGGAAGCGGCTGCAGCAAAAGGAGAATGTCCGGCCGCGGGAAGCAGGGCGGGAAGGCGCGCGCCAAGGCCAAGTCGCGYTCGTCGCGGGCCGGGCTGCAGTTCCCCGTGGGCCGCGTGCACCGGCTGCTGCGCAAGGGCAACTACGCGGAGCGCGTGGGCGCCGGCGCGCCCGTCTACCTGGCGGCCGTGCTGGAGTACCTGACGGCCGAGATCCTGGAGCTGGCGGGCAACGCGGCGCGCGACAACAAGAAGACGCGCATCATCCCGCGCCACCTGCAGCTGGCCATCCGCAACGACGAGGAGCTCAACAAGCTGCTGGGCAAGGTGACGATCGCGCAGGGCGGCGTGCTGCCCAACATCCAGGCCGTGCTGCTGCCCAAGAAGACCGACAGCCACAAAGCCAAGGCCAAGTGAACACCACCTCAGGATTCTCTTTGCTATTCTTTGTTTGTTTGTTTTCTTCAGAGGAACATAATCCAAAGGCTCTTTTCAGAGCCATCCACAATGTTCATAAAAGAGCTTAGTTACCAATATTTTCTCAATTGAATATGAATTACTCAAGGCGGACTTTGTTTTTTATGTATATACACACTTTATTACCGGAAGTTCTGGGTTTGGGAAAATAGCATTGTTCTCTACTTTTGTCGTAAAAAGAAAACCGTGGCAGAATATAAAAAAAAAAAAAAAAAAGCAACAACACAACAAAAAAGTTGCTTCTGGTATGTGGTAATGACATATTCAGTTCTTGAACCAGACAGCACCGCAACAATGTGTTTCGGCTAGAGCTTCGCCTCCGCCCCCGCCCCTCTCCCTTCCCTCCTTTTCCGCCTTTCTCTTCCGTACGAGGCGGAATTTGCACGGAGATGCAAGGCGTGATCTTCGGGGAGGGAGGGTGCGGGGAGCAGGGGCAGCGGGCCGGGCTCTCCTCTGGCCAATCCTTGGTCAGGGCGGGCTTTTCCAATACCTCTTTGTTTTTCAAGAGGAACAAAAGGATAGGAGAGCCTAGGGACATTTCCCGATCAGTAAGGTTTTCCGCCCTCCACCCCTCCACCCCCGCCCGAATAGACAAAAACATTTAAGGGCTCCACCATAGAAATACAATGGCTCAGTAGTAGCGTGCCTGACAATTGCATTACTTTTGTTACAAAATATATTAAAAAGTTACATCCGATTTTTATCAAATCAATATTATAAAACCTTTCTTCTTGGTAAAGTCAAACCAATTACTCCATAATGATGTAAATACATACACTTCCCTAAAGCCGACGCACTATACCATACAAATAAGTCTTTTTTTTTTTTTTTTCAGTACTCGTAGAGAAAAAAAGATACGTTTAACCCCGGACGACTTACGAGTTATTGGATCCTTGCTGTAGGTTACTCTCCACTTTGGCGCCTCAGCTCCTTTAGGGATAGTGTGGGTGGCTCTTAAAAGAGCCGTTGGATAACAAAGTATGTAGAGCAGGACTCTTCCAGTATTATTTACTTCTTYTTGGGCGCTGCCTTCTTCGCCTTGGCCGCTTTAGGTTTGGTCGCCTTGGGCTTGGCAGCCTTGGGCTTCACCGCTTTCGCCTTGGCCGGGCTCTTTGCTGCTTTCTTGGGGCGTCCAGCCTTGGCCGCCTTCTTGGGACTCTTGGCCGCCTTCTTGGCCGCCGCAGCCGCCGGCTTCTTCGCTTTCTTGGGGCTCTTCTTCACCGCCGCCGCCTTCTTGGGCTTCTTGGCGGCGCTCGCGGGCTTCTTGGCCGCCGCCTTCTTGGGCTTGGCCGCCGCCGCGCGCTTCTTCGGCGCTTTCTCTTTCGTCTCGCCCGGCTTCTTGTTAAGCCGGAAAGAGCCGGAGGCGCCGGTGCCCTTGGTCTGCACCAGGGTGCCCTTGTTCACGAGGCTCTTGAGCCCCAGCTTGATGCGGCTGTTGTTCTTCTCCACGTCGTAGCCGCCGGCCGCCAGCGCCTTCTTGAGGGCGGCCAGAGAGAGCCCCTTGCGCTCCTTGGAGGCGGACACGGCCTTGGTGATGAGCTCGGTGACGCTGGGGCCCGAGGGCTTGCGGGCTTTGGAGCCGCCCGCCGCCTTCTTRGGCTTCTTGGCGGCCGCCTTGGCGCCGGGCGCGGGCGCATCGGGCGCGGCGGCGGGAGCGGTCTCGGACATCGCGGCAGGCGTCCTCTGCGGAGCAGGCGAACACAATTGGGCTGGCGCGGGTCAGATGCTCGTATTTTTAGCGAGGAGACGCGCGGTGATTGGTGCGTTGCAGAGCCCGCCCCGCGGCACGGCCGGGGAGCCCTTCGGTGTGCTCGATTTGTGTTTCTTTGGACTAACAAAAGTGTCTTTTCCTCCTAATTTCTACCACCAAATCGCTCCGTTTCCCCGGTGAGGGAAGAGAAGACAAGGTACTTGCGATCGGTAGAGTTTCTAGTCTCAGACACCCGAGCTGGGTTAAAAAAGAGGCGATAAATCCCGTGTGCTGCTGCCGGAGAGACCTCTGAGGAGAGAAACTTTTGTTTTTCCTTGCAAATTAAAGATTTCCTTTCGACTAAAATGTTACAGCAGCAACCAAATCTGATTCTGTAGAGGGTTTTCTTCTAATCAAAGTTGAAATCTTGCAATTTAAACTTATTTTGACAGTTTAAATTGAATTTGAAGAGGAGGAAGTAACACAAACTCCTCTTTCAGCTGTGAATATGGATTAAGAACCGGTTCCTTTGACCATGTGTTTTACCTCCTAAAACACTAAACTCTATCGAAATTGTGTATCATACAGCCTCCTATTACTCATACTATAGAGCCATAAACTATTTGTTAATATCTGGGAATTAATTAAGATGTGATTCTTTTATTTTGTCTTCATGGAATTTCAGCAGAAGAGATGCAAGCTTATCTTATTGCCCTAAGTGCTTTTTTTCCTTTTGTTTGTTTTTGCTGTGAATTTCTTTATCAATTATTAGCAAAATCAAGCAATCTGTTTCTCATCTGGGATTTTTATTTCAACTATAGTGCCAATTGACAAGTTAAATTACAGTACTGCAGTTTTGCAGAAGAAACTAACCTTGTTAACTACTGGTGATATTTACTGAAATGATATCTGTGTCTTTCCAGAATTTTAAGATCTAATACATCAGTTATGTAGCTATGCTCCTACTGTTTTCTGTAGTAATATCATAATTTAAAACCACATTCTTCTATTTTTTAATAATAGTTCACAGAGTAAATCTACACAAAGATTTACCTGCAGCCAGCTCTGATCCTTCCTACTTATAAAGTGTGTGTGTGTGTATAGATATATACATATATATATATTTAGCTTTTTATATGTACATGTGTGTAGCTTTTCCTTAAGCATTTTATGCACATCATATAATCAGGGAACCATTTTCAGGACAACAACTGGAGCTCTTTGTGAATGCCTGAGTTTAACTAGGTAGGCCACAGTGTGTTCCTAAAGAACCAGGAAGAATGCAATCAATATTGACATCTGGTTACAGATGATGCAATATGCTGTAGAGAAAGGAGCCCTGGAATAAAAATGTAATGAATCTTTACCTGAATGTGACCAAATTCCATTGTCTTTCCTTGTTACTTAAGAATTACATATTTTTCTATTCCAGCCTTGCCCTCCCAGTTTCTTTGACACCATGAGGCATAAATAAGTCCTGTAAACACAGGACTGAAATAGATCCTAGCAGTAATAATTTCAGATTGTAGGAATGCTCAGTTTTAGGTGCATTTTTAAGTGTATTTTTTTTTTAAATCTTATTGCCTCATTTAAAATTATTCTTTTTTATCAATTTTAAGGGTGTATATAATGTGAAAATCTTTTTAGTTACTGTGTAGTTTGGCTTCAGTGGATATGAAGCTGAGTAAAAAAATAAAACCAAAAAACTGCAAAGTTCACCTAGTGGGGAAAAATATAATACAGAAAGATGGAGAAAAAGGTGATCCTCAGCTCTGCAATACCTCCACAGTAAGATGATTGAGAGATGGGTTAATCAAATTGGAACACTTTAGGAAGTTGTTGAAGAATGTAGGTGTGAAATAGGTTACATGTAGGATTGAAGATATACTTTTATGAATCAGCAAACCAGAAAATAAAATAATAACAATAATATATTTATATCTATATCTACATATATATCTTTCATCCTATTTTAATTCCTAAATCCATTCACAGAACTTTCCAGATACTTCATTAAATACTGAAGTAGACTAATACCATTATGCGATGATATTTGGAAGCCATGGTACCCAGATACCATGGCTTCCTAGCACCTCAAATTGAAGAGGGACATAGAGATTACTAACATATCAACAACATGAAAATTATTCCTGCCAACTCTTATTATTTCAGGCTTAAAATAAAAATATTTCCATAATCCTCACTAAGGAGATGTAAATACTCCAACCCTCAGTTTTGGCTTCACAAAATGTCAATTAATGTTTGCTGGTGGCTGAAATTAGAGTGGCTGAAATGGCCACCATCCTTATTGCTTGTCTGGCTTTTCTCCTGGAGGCTGCTACACCTCCCCTTCCCCAGCAAGTGAGAGCTGCTAGCACATACAAAGCTACTAGCTTTAAATCTACAATAGCTACAACCAGCCATCTAAAATAAAGAAACTGCAAAAGCTCCCCCTCTCAAGCAGAAGCTCGCTCTTGTCCTTTCTTTGCATCAAAGGAAGAAAAAATACTTTGTCAGTGCAGAATTGCTGCTTGAAACCTATATGCTCTTTCCTGTATGGGAGAAATGTATGCAGGACCAAAATTTAGGAAAGTTAAGGTGAATTTTGGGACTTTTATCAAGGGACTGCCACACAGTCAGAGCAGACAGATTAGAAGAAAATGAAGAATATAAGGAAATGAAGAATTATTCAGGCAAAGAGCAAAATGTGATGGAGGATTTCAAAAACAGGATCAATGGCCATTTCAGTTCCAAGTGAGCAAGTATGTAAAGTGAATAACCATGTTTTACATGTGATATTGGGGAAAGACCCTAACAAAAAGGTCAGCACATAGACACTAGCAAGCAGTCTGACTTTCCAAATAAGGCAGTTGAAGGGAAGCAGACTACCATTCACTGGAGGAAGAAGATGACTTTAGGTTCTCCAGGGAACTTTTAAGAGGACATTGTTTTAATGACGATGACATTTGAATGAGTTCAGGACTCCTCAACTTGTGGGCAGCCCAGCAAGCCGCACTATGTCCAAACCTGCATAAGATCATTATCCAAACTCTGCAAGCCACTTCAATCCAGATACCCATCTCTGTTCATCTTCTGTTGTAATTTATTAAGACATCATGGTAAAAGCAGGGCGACATATGAACTCCAGCCGACGTGTGGCTGTGCACCTGAGGTATCAAACATTCCCATTTGCAGCTTAAGGCCTATCAGTACTTGTTCCCCAGAAAATGAGCTCCAGGTTATGTTTAGATACATTCCCAATAATGAGAGGTAACATTGCAGTTGTTCTTTTCAAGCAGTTTTCTTAGGAGGTATTAGCATGAGACCTGGATACACTGTCATGGGTAATGGGCTGTCCATTCGGACAGTGACAATGGGAGTCCAGTGGCTGGTCATTCTGAGACAGATGGAGGAGTTGGAGCTGACGACTCCTTTCCTTCCTCCCAGTAGAACTTCCAGAGAGATTTTTGTGAAGCATTTTACAAAGTTACTGTCCTGTGTGTATGTGCTCCTAGGGGCTAAAGTGTAAACACTCCCTGCAACAGGTTTTACACTCTTACAGCAGTGTTACACCCATGCTTTATTTGCCCTCATCCTTCATCCAACTTACAATGTAATAACCTTTGTGATCAAACCAGTCAGCACACCTAACAGCTTTTAAACCTTAGCTTAGCAATTTTAAAGTGGTACCAACCAAACTACACGCTCATTGCCATTCAGCAAGCTAGTCTCTGCCTACATAATACTAATGTTGCTGCTGATGCTTTTGGTAAGACTTTTAAGGTTAACAAGGCCACACAAGGACTGTTGAAGCCAGAGGGTGGCTAACCATCTGTAGTGCACAGCACATATAGGGTAGGGCCCTGTATGACTGTCATTGTAGACTCAGCCTCTTGGAATGCAGCACCCTCCTCCTTGTGCTCTTGGTTAATGGTTTGGGCACTTAGTGTAGCCTGCATTCATCATTACTGTGATGTGTCATTTTGGAAAATTAAATATATATATATATATATATATACATACACACACATCTAGTCCAAAACCAGATATATGACAATATTTAGGAGGCTGTGAAGGGTATCTTCCATGTGTCCTCCTCTATTCCACCCACACTGAATAACAATAAATAACATCAAGAAAGAATACTGCCACAGCTTCTCCATCAGCATTAAGGCCTGGCGGCTCAGACAGATGAGCAGCCCACACACAGCAATGCTGAGAAACTTGCTTTGCATCCAGTTATTCCTGCATACTTCCTGTCCTCCACCCTTTCTCAGTTTATGTGCTGGTGATCCCAGTTAACTCCATCATGTGCAGGACTAGTCTTGGTAGATAGCAACGTGATATATGCCCCTCACCCTAGATAGAGCCACATTTACCACTGTCGGGGCACAAAGGGCAGACATAGCCAATTCACAGCCCACTATGTGACTGGTCACCAGGTATATTTGTGTCTCCAGGTGACCCATTCTTGCTATCAAGCCACTGATGATGGCAGCTAAGCACCATGAAGGCTGGATGTCCACCATCCCTGAGAGCTCTGCAGGTGTGTGAGGTGTGTTCCCACTAAATGATGCTTCTTTGTCTGGTTTCCTTATTGCTGTGGGGGTGTTATCTGGCTCAGGTGTCTTCCAGAGCAGGAACAACACAAGGTAGTACAGGAGCCAACGCTGTTGCCTACCTCTCTTCCTACAGAAGAAAGCAAAAAGCTTTCAAAGAGGCATTCAGTGTGTGTAAGGGTGTTGAGCCATAGCATGTGTTGTTCATAGCTCAGGTTTGCCTTGTAGTTGTTGTGGCTACATGCAGCTGCATACATGTTCTGAGACAACACCACCCCTGTTTAGAAGGTAACTGAGCCTTACAGGAACACTGGAAGGGCTGGTTGGTCCCAGGATTTCCCTGTAATATATAAATAAGGCCTGTCATCCAGCACTTTTGTGATCAGAAGGTGTAAAAAGTCATCAGTTTGGCTTCACAGATTGATGAGGATATGTCTGTAGTGTAGAGTGTGGGTACGTTCAGGAAGAAAGCCTGGTCTTCTATTATTTCATATATTTTACTTGCAACTTGATTCATCTGAACTGCTCCCAGAAAGAAGAATTGGTATCCATGCAAATACCTTGGTATCCCTGACATAAATGTCTCTGGTTTTGACAATGAAAAAGCAATGAAGTTTTGGTTGATGGGTATGGGAAATAAGGACTAGAATAGCAAGCTTTGCTTGTGTGTGCTGTTTGCGCTCAAAACTTTGTAACTTCTTACATCTAATTGTTTGGTTAGTAAAATTAAAGCACAAGGCCTACACTGAACAGCTAATGAAGGTGATAAGCATGTGTCCAGATGTACAAAGATGGGAAGTAAAGAGAAACCATTTAGGATTTCAAATTTACCTGAACTGCAATAGGAGGTACCAGTGAAAATGGAAATTTCAGAGTCTTAAACTCCCAAGGGCAAAAAGGCTGTTGAAGAAAGAAACTGTTGATCACTAAAGTAATCTTTTGAGTAATTCTGGTATTAGTTGTGCAAATCTAGTGCATAATCATTTAAAAAAGCATCATCCTTGAACAAAACAAAAAACAAATATTGTATCAAAACACATAACTGGAGGTGAAAAGGTAATCCCCTTCCACTGGTTTTATTAATTGCTTTGAAGAAAGGATTTAGCAAACTAACTCCTAGGAGTTAGTTTGTGTGCAAAGAGAGCTTTTCAGGGATTACCTTTGTGAGCCGTGTCACTCAATAAAAACTGGAATATTTGTTTGCACTTGATACTGAGGAGGAAAAATTCTTACATATTAAAAAAAAACTCTATTTTTTTTTTCGTTTTACAATATGTGATTATTTTCTTAACATGACGGGTTTTTTTGAGAGCGGTCTTAACTTTTTTTCCACCTTTTTCTCCCTAGGTTGTTTCTACCAACTAGTTAAATCCTTTTCAGTGTTGAAACAGACACTCACTTGTGCTGGATTAGTTAATATCATGGGAAAGAGGGCACACAGGCTGCAAACCTTGAGCACAGCAGAGCATCCCTGTCCTGAATCTAGGGACATCCAGAGTGAGGAGAAGCAAATGACCAATACGTTCTGGGGAAACTTGGAGATTCTGCTGCCCCTTATACTGGATTCTGGATAGAGATTTAAGATCATAACATGGTAAGAACACTCTCAGTGATTTGCATCGAGCATCCATCTTGACCAACATTCTGTTCATGACAGTAGAACACTCTCAGTGATTTGCATCGAGCATCCATCTTGACCAACATTCTGTTCATGACAGTAGGCACTGAAAAAGAACATAACAACAAGGCAGTAACTGATACCACATCAAAATGATCCCTGAGCCCCTAATGACTGGTAGGCCAGCAACCCCCCTGTATCAGAATGGATATTTTTGAACAGAAGATCCGTGAATGCATTTCTCTCATCCTTGTTTATTGACTGCTTTCTTGGAGCATAGCACCTCTCCTTTCCCATGCTCTACCATATATCTTCATCTCAACACATGGAAAATTGGAGGAACAAAAAGAGTAGAGACAGGAGATGGGCAAATGAGTAATGAGCGTATATTTTACATAGAACAACAAGAAGGTCATCCGTATTCGTCTATATTCAGTCAAGTATGCTGTGTGTTTGTGTGCACACAAATGCGTATGTTACAGGACAGAACTGGAAAATATACTTTCAATAGAGCAGATGAAGTGGAACAAGATAACAGTCGGTATATGGGGGGAGTTGAAAATCCTTCATGCAGACAGGGAGTTGAAAATATATCTGAAGGTGAGGGATTGAGAAGGCATTTGACAGTACAGTGAAAAAGAAATCTGGAGTCTTCAGGGCCAAAGATATTGCTGGATAAAATATCTCAGCTGAAAGATGCTGGGAAAGATGACCTCATCATTATATTTTTAGATCATGTCATTCACACACATCTTCTTTCCTGGAGATGGAGTAGTTGAGGCAGCACCAAATGTGACAGCTAGTGAGACAAAGGCTTTCCACACTTCACAAAGACATTCCTGAGCCATTCATCTTGAAGAGCTCCCCTCTGCTTCTGCATGGAGGATGTGTGTATCAGGCCATGCTGATCACAGATACACTCCCTGTGATGAAATTATGCTAATCTTACAGCCCTGGTGGGCCTTGTGCTACTAAAAGGAGTGTTTGCAGATGACACCAAGCTGGGTGGCCGACACTCCGGAGGGCTGTGCTGCCATCCAGAGGGACCTGGACAGGCTGGAGAGTTGGGCAGAGAGGAACCTCATGAGGTTCAATAAGGACAAGTGCAGGGTCCTGCACCTGGGGAGGAATAACCCCAGGCATCAGTACAGATTAGGGGTTGACCTGCTGGAAAGCACCTCCACAGAGAGGGACCTGGGAGTCCTGGTTGACACTAAGTTAACCATGAGTGAGCAGTGTGCCCTCGTGGCCAGGAAGGCCAATGGGATCCTGGCCTGCATCAGGAGGAGTGTTGCCAGCAGGTCAAGGGAGGTGATTCTGCCCCTCTACTCAGCTCTGGTGAGGCCGCACCTGGAGTACTGTGTTCAGTTCTGGGCACCCCAGTATAGGAGGGACGTGGAGCTTCTGGAGAGGGTCCAGAGAAGGGCAACCAGGATGATTAAGGGAATGGAACATCTCTCGTATGAGGAGAGGCTGAGTGAGCTGGGCCTGTTTTCTCTGGAGAAGAGAAGGCTGAGAGGGGATATGATTAATATGTATAAGTTCAGGAAGGGAGAATGCAGGGAGGAAGGGGACAAGCTGTTTTCACTGGTGGCCAGCAATAGGACGAGGGGTAATGGCCACAAGCTGAAGCATAAGAAGTTCCGTCTCCAGGTGAGGAGGAACTTCTTTACTGTGAGGGTGACAGAGCAGTGGAACAGGCTGCCCAGGGAGGTTGTGGAGTCTCCTACTCTGGAGGTCTTCAAAACCCGCCTGGATGCCACCCTGTGCCACATGCTGTAGGTGTGCCTGCTTGAGCAGGAAGGTTGGACTAGATGATCTGTAGAGGTCCCTTCCAACCTTAAATATTCTGTGAATCTGTTATGAGAATAGCTGGAATACCAGGAACTGAGGTATAGCATAGCTGCTTGCTTTTCAAAGTCACAGTGTTGAACCATAGCTGCAAAGATAGTGTTGTCACAGGCAATATGCACCGATGAAAGGGAAACATAATACATGAAAGAAATAAGGCCTATCCACCCGGAATGATATCAGGTCTTTGAATGCATAGGGATATCATGTACACAAGTGAAGTATCTGATTTTGTTGTGCACTTGTATATAGCTAATTTTAGTCCGGTTAACAACAGTGGTCTGAATGGATATGATTTTAGAGTGTGACCAAGGCATATGGGAGTTGATATGAAACAACATTTTAGAGTCAGGATAGAAAATAAAGTTTTTTCTCTGAATCTGTGCTGGTGAAACCCATGGCACAGTCTGAGAGTCCTTCACAGTGAACTTCCAGGGAAGTGCTATTGTTCAGAAGTGGGTTGCTTGATGTTCTTGTTAGCACAGGGCCTTGGAAATGACTTTCCACATCTTCAATTTAGCAGCCATTTCTCAGTGCTGCTACCACTGAGTTCCTTTGACATAGCCTCAGAACTACRGAGACATGGCTGGTACGACCTTCGCAGCAGCAATATTCAACAAGTCATGCATGCTGTAGGTGTTTTGGAGAGTGGCTAGTTTGAGTCTTTAAGAAAAATGGATCGAGTCTGACTCTTCAGTTATAAGGTATTTCTTCCCCATCTGGATTTTTTTTGTTGTCTCTTATTTGCACCTGATGTTCTTTTATAGACTCCTCTGTGTCAGTATTTTGTAACAAAGCCACTGATATAGGGGAAAAAAAAAACTGTGATATAGACCTGTGATATGAGAGGAAAAAAAAAAGCAATAGAAGGCTTTGTTGAGCATACAGCAAATGGTGGTGGGACAGATGGCAGTCTCACAGCTGGCACTGTGGTCTTCACAGGGTATTGCGAATACAATATGCTAGAGTACCTGGAGCCTAGGAATAGAGTCACTTAGTAGGTGGTCATCTCCAGTTCCAGGTTGCTGTGTGCACAGGACGTCAGTGAGCTACTGGTACATTGAGGATACTGCCTCACTCAGTGATACTCCAGGGAGTTACTGAGATATGTGTTGTGTGCTACATTCACTTATGAAGTGAGGAAAACCCTGTGGCTGGATTTCAAGATTTGCAGGAACACCAAACCCAAACTGTCATTACTAGGTAGACTAATTGAAGCATGGTAAATATTTAGACAGATTTTGGACCAACTATCCTATCGTAGAAAAGTATAGCTAGTTATTATTAGTACTAATAAAATTTCACAATCTATACAGATTAATTTTAAATTTCATCTTGGTTACATGTACATGAAAACATACTGCTTTCACACAATTCATTGTCATACACCCACTTGCCATCTTCCTGGCTTAGCAAGTGCTGCATTTGTAAAACAGGTCATGTAAAAGAAGAATGAGAGAAAGTATAATCSATTACACAATTCACATAGGTCAACATATGCAGCTATTTGTTGCAATAAAAATATAATGCATCCTTGGAAGACATAAGAGTAATGTCCCATAATTACATTAATAATAAACCTAATCTTGAAGTCTTTTGGCAAAACACAGCATGGGGAAAGTTGACCTCTGGAAATGTTATTAGTGAGGCATGAAAACTGGCTTTCAATACATACTTCTACACAAAGAAGACCTTGCTGGAGATGAGACTCCACCAGAAGTATCTTCATCTATTTGTGGGATTTTGAAAATTAAGTATAAAAAGCTATCCAGATGCTTTCAAAATTACTTCTGCTGGATGACAAAAATAGTAAAATATTTGATAAAAGCAAAAATGAAGTGGAAAGATAACACAGTAAGTAAACTAAATAATGGTGAATGAGAATGTAATGATTAATGTGATGCATATAATCTTAATTTGAAAGTAAAAATCATAAGTCCAAAACAAAGAAATGCCAGCAATTAATAGTAAGATAAGAATAATTAGAAAGTAATATACCTAAGAAATAAAGACAATACCTTATAGTGTATATGCCTATATTTGAGCAGAATACATCTGGATGTTTAAGTGCATAGTAGAAGAAAGTATTAATAAAATAATAATAATAATCATCATCATCACAACAGTTCAGGGAAATGGGAGGCCTACTCTTCATCAGTTACTATACTATTGTGACTGAAAAGAAAATAAAAAAAAACATATTTTCAAAATAAGAGTASAACATGAAAAACAAAAGTGTGAAAAGCTGTTTGGAGGTGTATGAAATGCAGAACAAAGGGGGAAGGAGAGAGCAGCGGCTCCCTGAAGCACTTGCTGGCCTCGCTCCCCCTGTGCAGGCAGAAGCTCCGCGCCGGCCTCCCCGCCCGCTGTGCGGAGGCAGCGGCCCCCCCATCTCCGAGCGCAGGGACGCGCTGGTGCCGCAGCCCCCTCGGGGCGCCGCCACCGCCGCTGCGGGAGCCGAGCACGGAGCGGCCGCGGCCCGAGCGAGCGAGCGACAGGGGCCAGGACGGGCTCGGGGGGAAAAGGCGGCGAGGGCCGAGCGGCGTCTCCGGCGGCGCAGGACGGGACGGCGCTTGATTAGGGAGGCAGCAGCAAAGGCGAGCGGGGTGCGGGGGAAGCGCCCCGCCCCACGGAGGCGGAGAGAGAGGCCATTCCCGGCGCCCCCCCTCCCCCCCCGCCACTAGCCCCTGCCCGCGGCCGAGCCCCGCGCCGCCGGGAGCGCGCGTCGGGTGCCGGGCGGGGTGAGAGGCGGGGCGGGAGGGCAGGCACCGCCTTCCCGGCGGCGGAGCCGCCCCTGCTCTCAATCAGGTCGGACCGGCGGCCATAAAGACCGCGGCGCGGGCGGCAGCGGCTCAGGGCTCGGCTCGGTCAGGGTGTGGCGAGATGTCTGGCAGGGGTAAAGGCGGCAAGGGGCTCGGCAAGGGCGGCGCCAAGCGGCACCGCAAGGTGCTGCGCGACAACATCCAGGGCATCACCAAGCCGGCCATCCGGCGGCTGGCGCGGCGCGGCGGCGTGAAGCGCATCTCGGGGCTCATCTACGAGGAGACGCGCGGCGTRCTCAAGGTYTTCCTGGAGAACGTGATCCGCGACGCCGTCACCTACACGGAGCACGCCAAGCGCAAGACGGTCACGGCCATGGACGTGGTGTACGCGCTCAAGCGCCAGGGACGCACCCTCTACGGCTTCGGCGGCTAAAGCGCCCATTGCTTGTGTGTAACGAACGACCCGCGAACCCAAAGGCTCTTTTAAGAGCCACCCACTCTTTCTCAGAAAGGGCTGTGTCGSGCCTCCCCTTCTAGCGAGGCTCAGCGTGTTATCCGCAGTGTCGTCCTTTTATTAACTCCTTCATTGCCTGTCCGTTCTCGCCTGTATACGCTGCTCTCCTCCCCCACCCTGGAAAGGGCGCCATGCTGTGAGCTGCAGCTTTGAACTCGGCGGCAGCTGCCTTTGCTTGTCGGCTCTTAGCCTTTACGCGCCCACTGTCAGCTTTTGGCAGACCTTGGCGCTGTTCTTCTCTCGCCTCACGAAGGCGCAAAGCAGCTGCGCTCTCCCAGCGGTGCCGCTTTGCTGAGCGGGGAGGGGTGGTAGGAACATCCGTTATTGCGTAGCGCCCACAGGAACCCCGCTCTCGCTGCGCGCCCAGGGCGGCCGCTCCCCGCAGCGGCGAGAGAGCCCCCCGCGAGCGCGCGCGCGCGCTCTTTCGAAAAGCCCGCGCTGGGCAGCGATTGGCTCGCGGCCTTTTCCGCGCCCCGCTCCCTACCGGGACTCCCGCTGCCGCCCGCCCGCGCGCCGGGAAAGACAGCGTTCCGCCCGTTGGCGGCGGCGTGAGGAAGCGCAACAAGGCCGGGAGCTCCCCGCGGACACCAGAGCCCCAACACCTTACTACCGTCCTAGGACAAGCAAAGAAAGAAAGAGGCACCCGCCAAAACAGGCTGTACCACGCCGCAAACATACGCGTCCCTCCCCCAAAGCCCATCTAGCAGCGCATCAAGCTCCTTCTCGAATCCGTGGGTGGCTCTGAAAAGAGCCTTTGGGTTTCGCGTCTCTGCTCGGGGCCCTCCTCTGGCGTCCGTTTACTTGCTCTTGGCCTTRTGRCTCTCGGTCTTCTTGGGCAGCAGCACGGCCTGGATGTTGGGCAGCACGCCGCCCTGCGCGATCGTCACCTTGCCCAGCAGCTTGTTGAGCTCCTCGTCGTTGCGGATGGCCAGCTGCAGGTGGCGCGGGATGATGCGCGTCTTCTTGTTGTCGCGCGCCGCGTTGCCCGCCAGCTCCAGRATCTCGGCCGTCAGGTACTCCAGCACGGCCGCCAGGTASACGGGCGCGCCGGCGCCCACGCGCTCCGCGTAGTTGCCCTTGCGCAGCAGCCGGTGCACGCGGCCCACGGGGAACTGCAGCCCGGCCCGCGACGAACGCGACTTGGCCTTGGCGCGCGCCTTCCCGCCCTGCTTCCCGCGGCCGGACATGCTGCTGCTGCTGCTGCTCTTGCTGCTGCCACTCGCTCAACGCCGAAACAGCCTCCTCCCGCACACACGCTGCCTTTGCCGCCGCCCTGAAGCCCGGCCTTATATCCCTTCTCCTCGGCGTGGCCCCGCGCCTCCCGATAGGCCCACGCGCCGCCCGGGGCGCGCGCAGCCAATGGCGAGACGGATCCCGCCCCTCGCCAATCGCCGACGCCGCACCCGACGCCCCGCCCCGCGCCCTCCCGCCGCGGGCGGCTGAGCGGCCCCGGCCCGGCGGAAGCCCCGGAGCAGCGCGGGACGGCGGGGAAGGAGCCGGGGCGGGGGGCGGGCAGTCGCGGGGAAGGAGGGCGCTGCCGGAGCGTGGGCTGCGCGGGAGTCCCGCAGGAGCGTGTGGGGGAGCGAGGCGGGAGCAGGGGAGGGGGGTCGAGCCGGGAGGGCGGCAAAATCCGCCCCGCTTGTTCTCTCCTCGCTCTTTTGCCGCGCAAGATTTCACCCCCTCGTTCCAGTGCACTGCCGGGACACCAGCCAGGACCTCTTGAAACTCTCCCTTTGTTGCAATAAATCAGCAAAGGAAATACACTGCTTCAGAGCAGCACTGTATTGTCACATATCTCTCCCCTGCCTTTTCCAATCTGCCTTTGCAGCTTTAATGTCAGCTCACACTGAGTGTAAGCTTTTTTGTTGGTGTTTTTCTTTTTTTTTTGATCTCTTGTAGTGATGTTTGTTAAATTCACAAATTATGTTACATTAATATATTAATAAAAGAAAATATCAATTTAATGTAAGTTTGTAATTTTCTCAGTCACTGTGCTAACAGCTCCTTTTATTTGTACATGTAGTGGCTCTTAAAAGAGCCTTTTTGTTGTTCGGTATTGAAGACTAAACAGCGTTTTAAGGCACGTTACGCTCGTTCTCCGCGGATGCGGCGCGCCAGCTGGATGTCCTTGGGCATGATGGTGACGCGCTTGGCGTGGATGGCGCACAGGTTGGTGTCCTCGAAGAGCCCCACCAGGTAGGCCTCGCTCGCCTCCTGCAGCGCCATCACGGCCGAGCTCTGGAAGCGCAGGTCCGTCTTGAAGTCCTGCGCGATCTCGCGCACCAGCCGCTGGAAGGGCAGCTTGCGGATCAGCAGCTCCGTCGACTTCTGGTAGCGCCGGATCTCGCGCAGCGCCACCGTGCCGGGCCGGTAGCGGTGCGGCTTCTTCACGCCGCCCGTGGCCGGCGCGCTCTTGCGGGCCGCCTTGGTGGCCAGCTGCTTGCGCGGCGCCTTCCCGCCCGTCGACTTACGCGCCGTCTGCTTCGTGCGCGCCATCGCTGCAAGTAACTTAACCCCCCAAAGAAAAGAACTGATCACGCSCTACCGCCAGAGCAGAGGTATTTATAGCGGCGTTCCCTTTCCTGATAGGCGGAAAGCTCTAGGACGAATTTCATTGGCCGATTCAAAGTTTAAAAATACCGCCTTTATCGAGTAGCTCTTTCTTAAGCGCTTTTGTTGTCCCAGCAGGCCAGGGGGTGGGGACTATACTTTCAAGATTCATGAAACTGCTTTTTTTTTTTTTTTTTAATATAGGCTTTCTTATTTTTTTTTTCATTGAATATCGACGGTATACATGCTTTATTTTTCATTTATTCTCAATTCTTGTGTCCCCTTGTTTTTATTTTTTCCTATTAATTTTACTTTTTTTTATTTACTAAACCGCATTACAGAATGTGCAAGACTTAACACACAAGATCGTAAACGATATTGGAAGTACTGTAATGTGTTGGTASACAAGTCTAAAAAGAAAAAATTCTAAGAGAAACACCGGAAAACGCAGTGGCCAAGTGCTGCAAATAAGACAATGAGTAGTACCACCGTTTACTTTTCAAGAATAGATCCATTACAAGGACATATTAGAAAAGAGGAAAGAAGATAAATAAGCGTAAGCAGGTTTTGTTGACCGTTTGCTTGACTTTTTTATTTTTGATATTTTTTCCTATATAAGACAAAGGAGTAGAAACCAGTATTATAAAAAAAATGTACGGACATGGTAAAGTTTAATGATAGACTGGAAAAAGGAGGCTAGATATGTTCCAAGACTGTGCTGCTCTGAGGCAGTCTATTTGCTTTGCTGATTTATTGCATCAAAGAAGTTGGGAGGGATTCAAGAGGTCGGGATCCTGGCTGGTGTCCCGGCAGTGCACTGGAACGAGGGGGTGAAATCTTGCGCGGCAAAAGAGCGAGGAGAGAACAAGCGGGGCGGATTTTGCCGCCCTCCCGGCTCGACCCCCCTCCCCTGCTCCCGCCTCGCTCCCCCACACGCTCCTGCGGGACTCCCGCGCAGCCCACGCTCCGGCAGCGCCCTCCTTCCCCGCGACTGCCCGCCCCCCGCCCCGGCTCCTTCCCCGCCGTCCCGCGCTGCTCCGGGGCTTCCGCCGGGCCGGGGCCGCTCAGCCGCCCGCGGCGGGAGGGCGCGGGGCGGGGCGTCGGGTGCGGCGTCGGCGATTGGCGAGGGGCGGGATCCGTCTCGCCATTGGCTGCGCGCGCCCCGGGCGGCGCGTGGGCCTATCGGGAGGCGCGGGGCCACGCCGAGGAGAAGGGATATAAGGCCGGGCTTCAGGGCGGCGGCAAAGGCAGCGTGTGTGCGGGAGGAGGCTGTTTCGGCGTTGAGCGAGTGGCAGCAGCAAGAGCAGCAGCAGCAGCAGCAGCATGTCCGGCCGCGGGAAGCAGGGCGGGAAGGCGCGCGCCAAGGCCAAGTCGCGCTCGTCGCGGGCCGGGCTGCAGTTCCCCGTGGGCCGCGTGCACCGGCTGCTGCGCAAGGGCAACTACGCGGAGCGCGTGGGCGCCGGCGCGCCCGTSTACCTGGCGGCCGTGCTGGAGTACCTGACGGCCGAGATCCTGGAGCTGGCGGGCAACGCGGCGCGCGACAACAAGAAGACGCGCATCATCCCGCGCCACCTGCAGCTGGCCATCCGCAACGACGAGGAGCTYAACAAGCTGCTGGGCAAGGTGACGATCGCGCAGGGCGGCGTGCTGCCCAACATCCAGGCCGTGCTGCTGCCCAAGAAGACCGAGAGYCAYAAGGCCAAGAGCAAGTAAACGGACGCCAGAGGAGGGCCCCGAGCAGAGACGCGAAACCCAAAGGCTCTTTTCAGAGCCACCCACGGATTCGAGAAGGAGCTTGATGCGCTGCTAGATGGGCTTTGGGGGAGGGACGCGTATGTTTGCGGCGTGGTACAGCCTGTTTTGGCGGGTGCCTCTTTCTTTCTTTGCTTGTCCTAGGACGGTAGTAAGGTTGTTGGGGCTCTGGTGTCCGCGGGGAGCTCCCGGCCTTGTTGCGCTTCCTCACGCCGCCGCCAACGGGCGGAACGCTGTCTTTCCCGGCGGGCGGGCGGGCGGGCGGCAGCGGGAGTCCCGGTAGGGAGCGGGGCGCGGAAAAGGCCGCGAGCCAATCGCTGCCCAGCGCGGGCTTTTCGAAAGAGC